ACTTGTTGATACTCAATGTCGATGCCGGCTATGCTGCTGACAAACTGTCTGTGAGTGCACCAAGCCCACAGTCAGACGCTGGAATTCATTGTGTCAATTAAGGTTCTGGCCGTTCGGCAACACGGCCAAGTTGCAAAAACAAGGTCAAACCACTTATAGCAGTCATTCCCAAATTAAGCGCAGCGGCTCCCCGGGGCGGTGCAGTGATTTCCAGGCTCATCCATCACATTAATTATTAAATATTAATTTAATATTAATAAAGTAAAAAAAATAATGAAGATACACGAGTTTTATTTATGCTTATCTCTTACTTACGAATAGTCATACTTAGGGTAAGGCGCCATGGAACAATTTTAATCAAAAAAGCGCGCCGCGACTAGGAATAGTTTGGGAGCCACTGACCTATAGGCCTATATTCAGTTAAAGAAATACTTATATTTTACTGCCTACTTCTCACAAATAAGTAGTATGATTAATATGCATTAAAACTTTATCCACTTTGTCTGTATTCCAGGCTTGAAAGAGATTGGTTGCGATGACAATCAAGTGGCGTTCCATCTCCTTGGCAGAGATCGACCAATTGGCCATCAATCGCCATCGAAGTCCGGCCGCAATCTCTCGCGCCAAAGGATCGGGCCAGGTCAGTGTGAATGCGACCTCGGGAACACGAAGCACCAGATGAGATCGCTCAGGCGAGCCAGCGCCGGTGTCCGGACCGAATGGTCCCACCTCCTGGAACTGCGATTTGAACCAAACGCCGAGTGCCGGAGAGTCAGGACTGCTTGCTGTTGGGCTATCCGGGTTGCTAAGGGCGCAAGTTTGCGGCAACACACGCTGCAGATCCCAGAAGCGCAGATCTGAGCTGCTATCCACCAGAAGGACGTGATCGCCTCGCTCAAGCACAATCTGAGTTTGATGAGCACATCGTAAAAAGTCATGCAAATTAGCAAAAAATGACTGTTTCATTTTGCATAATTTGCTGCGTGAGCAAAGACCAGGAGAAGCATCAGTCAGACATCATCACTTTTCGCATGTCAGGTCACGTTTTTCCGGTTAGGAACAACGATGACGAAGGTGATGAAAAAGCACAGCGTCTACAATAGCACACAACCGAGCCGAGTTGTGCAGTCATTTTGGCCTTAAGGCATACATGCCATCCGAATCTTGATGCAAGTTGTGTCTCACGCCACATGGAAGGGTCAACTTCGACATGCTCCAAAACGAATTAGGGTTCAAAGTTCAATGTTGCCTGGCCGATAAGACTGGTGCCACCGATCCCTGTTGCCTAGAGGGTGTGTCTTAGTGGTTCCGGCTTTGACATACCCTTTTTGTTTAAACGAGCTCTAGTTCGGTACCACGTGGTTGTCGGTAGTAATTGGTGGTTGTTGGTGGTGATGGGCGGGATTCTAATGAAGATTTTCGTGACAAGCATTTTGGCTGCCCTGATTATTCCTAACTGGTGTGAAGAAAGTGAATGGAATATGTGTTCAGAATAGGTGTGTTTTATAGGATAGGGGGACTTGTAGTTGAAATTTCTCTAAATTATATGAGCAGACCTCGTTTTTACGTTGAATTTCACAAAAAGGTATTCTCCTTCCGGCTGGGTTGAATTGCAACTTCGACCTTGTTTAAACTGGTCTCATCCAACCCCTGCCCTCCCACAGAGGGACTCAAACCGTGACAGTGCAGAGTACAATCTCGACAAGTTAACCGTTATGTCCCATTGATGCAAGTTCCCTTGAGTCAGCGTATGCATGATCCGCTGTTGATCTCGAAAACCCGCTTACAAAACAAAAATAAGTAATGTGGATGATTACTATGGCAAAAATACAACTTTGCTTCATCGATAATCCCACCACAGAATGTGATATGGCAAAATGCCTGGCCTTCCTTGGAATTCAAATCCGCCCTATGACCAAATAACACTTAAAGCCGTCTGGCGTAGGGAGTAACATGTCGAGATTATACGCTGCACCACCATGGTCCGAGTCCCGCTGGAAGTGCTAATGAAACCAGCTTTGGCGAGTCCGAAACTGCACTCCACTCCAGCCGAGATGAGAATACGTTTTTGGAAAGAGAGGCTGTGCAAAGCCTCTCATATGATTGTGAAAAAATTCAATTACCAGTCCCCTTATTATCTTACGTGAAATAGGGTGAATACATCTCATAAATCTAATCTACTGTTAGTATCAAAAGCCTACTTTTAAAACGAAAGATAAGATGTGTTTTAGCCAGTGCTCCTTCGCTCCATCCATATGACCACCATAAAGGGCACCAAGTGCATAAGTTAGTTGTATAATTTCTTCGCAACCAACTTCCTCATTTTAGGTGGTTAATTACAACTTTTTAGTGCACATTTATACCAGTTTTGACTGGTCTGCTAGCGGACTTACAGAGTTGAAGAGAAGACTTGACTTTTCAGTAAATTTCGTTGTTTCCTCGTCATCAGAACGCCCCACTGTCTCTAGGTTGCACTACCCTTTCTGCCTGGCCCCATCGAAATACGAGCCTTAAAGGTTTGTGTCGAAATGAACAGGTTACTCTCCAAATCATTGTTTTGCACTACCTATCAAAATGGGTATATCAAGAGAACATTTGACTTTCCAATCTTTTCGAAACCAAAAAAATTAGATTAAGAATATACGTCCCTAGTATGCCAAGCTTAACGGCAAACCTCTGTTGGCCAATATTCGGAATAAGTAGTTTTCAAAACCGTTCACCCAATTGCGGTTAAGGTGATGAAGGACAGACGAATGAATGTGGGACAAATAGCTGAACTTTCCCACGATGGTATGAGTAGAGCTGACGCCTCGTTTGAATTTCACGTAGCCTTGCTTCTCGAAAGATATTCTTATCCAAGATGGACTGTAGTTTCGACCTAGCTTAAGTCTTGTTAACACTCCCAGTGGGACTCTAACTATGACAATGAAGCGTATGATCTCGAGACGTCAACGACTACGCAACGGTATGTACATTTCATTGTGAGAAAATTCAACTACTAGTCCTTTATCGCCTTAAATGAAATGTGGTGAATGCATCTGATTAATCTGATTTATTGGTAGTCTGGACACTCTACTTACATACAAAAAATATAAATCCTTATTTTAGTTTGGTAAGTAGAGTTATAATAATGCCAATAAATCAGATTAATTAGATGTATTCACCCTATTTCATTTACGATAATAAAGAACTAGTCAAATATATAAGAGATATAATATATGAGATGTATTCACTCTATTTCGTCTAAGGTGATGAAGTACTGGTAGTAGAATTCTCTTACAATGATATGAGTTGAACTGATGTTTCCATTGAATTTCACATATCATTGTGGGAAAATTCGGCTAACAGTCCTTCATCAGCTTAGACGAAATAGGCTGAATACATCTCATTACACTGATTTACTGGTAGTCTCGAAACTCTACTCTTATACGAAAATAAGACTCATTAAGGCTCTTATTCAAGCACACCTGATCGTCTTAAAATGCCAATCTTTTCGGAAAAGGGTAATAGAAGGCACTGTGAAGCGACCTCTCCAGAAAGATGAGCACATTCATGTCGTTCGCATTACGAGCCGCCAGGGTGTGATCAGGCGATCAGATGTTCAGGCCAACGGTGCCCCCCTTGAGTGAGGATTCCTGCTTCCCGGCCTGCAGATGGGGAGTCCGACGCCGTACAGAATGAGGCTGAAGCAATGTGTGATTTGGTATTTTACAAGTGGGCTGAGCTGATCCATTTGGCGTCCACTTGCAGAAAGAATTGCAAAATTGGTTGTTACGGTTGACGAAGAGGAATCAAGTTTACGTTTTTTTCCTCCTATTTTGCCTCGGAAGTAGTAGTCTCTATGCGAACAACTCAGCATAAAATGGCATGTATGTGTCAATGTGGGGTAGTTAAGGCAGAAGTGAGAGGAGAAAGCCTTACCTGGCCCTCTTGTGTGAAGCCGGAGAGCATGAGTGCGTGGGAATTTCTCGACTCCTTGCTCAGTAGAGGCACGATTGTATCACTCTCGACAATGCAGGCCTCAATTTGGTTTGTCCAATCGAGGTGACGAACTCCAAACTCCTAAGGGGAAAAATGTAAAAAAATAACTCTTCAGCTCTATACTTTACCTACAAGAAAGGTTATTTCGATCATTTTTGGTATGATAGATTGCCCAGGTTATGATGATTATGATGCTAATGAGGTCTGTTATTCTATGCGCATTTCAGCTATTATGTTGCCACGTTCATCTAACCAGCATCGTGAGGCATGCTCGTCTCATTGTGGGAAACTTCACTATCACCTTAAGCCGCCTAGGCTGACTAAAGTGTCTCAGTGGACAGACAAAGAGATAAATTTCCCCAACCGAATTTGGAAAAACGCAGCATCTTAAGTGGTGTGCCAAGATCTTTTTCAATCCACTTTTTAATTTTTAAACAAAATTTTGCAGTGAAGATATAAAGACCAAGATGTTGTGGCCTCTGGTGTGGTCGTAGTCTCATTTAGATTTATAGAAGTGGATTCACCTCGTTGTCGCAACTTGGTCTTGTCGTCAGGGGGACTTAGTAGAACTCAACTAGTCCAAAGTCGTCTGCCACTGTAGTTGTCATGATTCCGATCATCA